TTTTGGCTCGTTCTTCATCCGCTGCCTTGTCGAGCAGCTCTATTTCATGAGCCTTGTGTTCCATACTTAAGCATATTTGACAAATACAAGTTTGGCAGACACGACAGTAAAACCTTGTTTCCTCTTTCTCGTGGTACTTCTCAGCGCAGAATGCCTTTCGGTTTAACAAAGCTTCGTAATCTTCTACTTGAAACTGTTTGACCGACGTCACCTTGTGTCCTGAGAAAGCTGTAGTTTGAAACATCTCATGCGCCTGGAGACACACTTGACAAAGCAACATCTCGCAGTCGAAACAATAACTTAATTCAGCGCTCTTTTTCGTGCAAACTTTGCAGCTGATCTGACTTCCATCGCCACTTTGTTGAAAAGCGAGAAGGCTTAATAAGCTGTTGTGCAGAAAACTGGTTGGCAACTGATCGAATCTGTTTCCTTCAGGGATGGCTATTTGTGTCTGGCATTCAGGGCAGCGAAACTGACCATCTTTCTGACTCGTAAGCGCGTGTTTCTTCAGACATTCACAGCAGAAAGTGTGAAGACAAGCTATGGTTTTCGGCTCGGTGAAACTTTCTAAGCAAATCGAACATTCAATGTACTTTTTGAGGTTTTTTAGCAGAGCCTCCATCTCGATACGCACAACAGACTATGCCTGATGACAGTTTTTAATTTCCTCTAATTGTCAGTCGATTCCGAGAATCGTTTGCAACAGTTAACATGACCCCGCGGCCTCAGTTGCTAAGTTTCCATGACGTTAACCCCATCATAGCCTGCGCGCAGACCCTTTAAACCTTGTTTATAGCGTCTGCGAATTAGTGCACAATATCGTGTTCGAATCCCGCAGAGTCGCAAGGACATATGTGAGCGTCTTTGATTGGCTAGAGAGCCGCCAGTTTATTACGCACTTTGTGATTGGTCTGATTTTGGCGCCAGATCGTCACGCGATTTTGTGACGATGTCCAGGAGATTTGCATATTTGCATATTTGCATCTGAATGCTTTGAAATCGATTTATCGTGGATATTTGCATGTGAATACCTGAATAACTTATGTCCGATTCGTTAGTTTGCTGCTGTTTATGTTTGCGTGACATAGAAAAGAGTTACGAACGGGTAAACTTGGAAAGATGTAAGAAGGATTTCGACTCGCTCGCTGAAATCGAAAGCCTCGAGATCTCGCACCGCGACAGCAAGTACATATGCAGACAGTGTGTTGCGAAACTAAAAAAACGTCGTGAACTTATCATCCAAAAAGCTCAAGTAGAATCTGAGTTGAAAAGTATCTGCGACAAATCAAAGAGGAAAGGAGATGAGTCAGTAGAGAGCGATGTGGATTCATCGGCAAAAAGGCCAAGAACCGTGGAGCCTGATAGTTTTCCTCTGCAGTCGTCTCCTGTTCGTTCAGCTTCAGCTACAAGAGCTGTAGAATGGCCAGTGTCACCAGTTCAATCGACTAAAACGCAAGCCTTGAGTAGCTGCAATTTCTGTTGCCGTGTCATCAAAGAAAAATATGACCGGGTTATCTTGGAGAAGGGGACCAAATCCTTTGATGTCATGGCTGAAATTGCGAGTCTGTCATTTCCCCTGCAAACGATCGGTAGTAAATATGGCTGCAGAAACTGCATCAATAAACTGAAGAGGCGTAGAACCGTTATCACTCAGCTGGAAGATCTCGAAAGAGAACTTAGGAAAGGCGCAAATCAAAATGTTAGCGAGAACAAATCCCAAGTAGAAGCGCCTGTGTCAGAATTACAATCGACTGCGACAACTGAACACGATTTGATCGATTGTACGACAGATAAAAAGAAGAAAGTCGAAGTTACTGTGACTGCCAAATGGCCATCAAAGGTGGAAAGAAAAAATCTTCCTGAAGATCTTACGTCTTTAGGTAAAACGCTTGTTCGGGGCACCTACAAGCAAATTGCTAATGCTGTCTGGAAAAATGAAAAAATCAAAAAAGAAATTATGCAGCTAGTGAAGAAAGAGGTCGAGCGAGAATGCACACATTTATGTTCCAAGAAGAATCCCAGTTGTTTTAGAAAGACAGACAAAGAAGACATGCTCGATTTTTCTATGGAGAAACTCTGTTCAGAGGTAGAGGACAGGGCACCGATGCTACACACCGTTTTATCAGCTGCTGCTATCAACAGAAGAAGCAGAGCTGAAACTGAAACTCCAGCTGCTAGATTTGGTGCTGTTGGGATGGCTGCTGCTGTGTGCCTCAGAAACCGATCGAGATACATGATTGCAGTGCAGTTCCTGATCACTAATTTCCTATATCATTCAAACTGGCTGGTAGGTACTAAAATTGTCACTTTGTAGTCACCACTCTTAAATTTAATTATCATGTATGGATCAAGACTAGGTGTATTTTCATGACATTCATAATCAACACATTTGTCATTTGTTTGGCTCAACTAATTAAAGAAATATTTCTGTCCAGGTCTTGGCTCATTAAATCTAATAAATTTATTGCTATGTATTAAAACCATATGCGAAGAGTACCAAAACAGATTATTTGCAAGGTCTTTTTATGTAATCTGATCATAAATGTTGTTTATCTTACTGCTGTGTACTTATTCTTTTTGTATACCTATTTTTTGTACATTTTAAAAATTTGATTTGTATATCATCAACAGATAGGTTATCAGCAGGTCCACATCAGTTTTAGCTGCCTCTTAACCTGCTTTACCAAATAAACTATGAATGAATGAATGAATGAATGAATGTCATTCAGCATGATTAAAAATATAACTTTCATTCCTTTTTGACAAATAGGTAAATAGATCCAAGCTTTCACCAATTGACAGTGTTCATTGGTGACAGCTTGAATCTCAATTTTCTTTTTTAAACAGTAGGGCCACACTATAAATGATAATATTTTTTTCTTCTGCTTATGTGGTTTGGGTAAAAACTATCTATATGATAGCTAATGATAGTGCACATTGTGATCAACAGGCTTCACTAGCAAGGCTGAGCACTCTGAGGATTACAACAAGCCATACCTACCTGTACAAGAAGCTCGATGAATTTGGCAAGGACCATGACAAGCCTATCCGTGAAGCAGTTGCCAGGCAAAGTGAGTATATGGCCAGTGTGCGTGACCATCCATCTGCGGAAAATGAAGATCAGCGTTCAGAGAAATCTACCAAGTCCACGTGCCACACCCCAGACTGTGGGCGCAAGATGGTCTTTGACAACCTGGATTACAGCCAGGAGGTCCACTGGATGACGGAAGACCATCAAAACACCGATTGCCATTATGTAACTGCAATGTCAACTGACAATAGGGTGCCTGGTATGGGGTTAAGTACTGAAACACCACAGTTTGGATTGCTTGATATGGAGAATGGGGATTGTCTGCCATCTGCCCTCAATAATGCCAAGCAGCGAGATAACTATGTCAAGCTTGTTGAGAGAATAATAGTCAATAACATTCCGTGTCTTGAATACCTGGCCAGTGCATGTACCAACCACATTCCCCATCAAGGCACTATATGCGATACGTGGGCCGGCTGCACCGCAGGCTATTCTGAGTCGGTTGAAAAATTCTCGGCATAGGAAAAATCAGCCAGATATAGGCCTTACACAGTGGGAATAAATCACATAACAAGAAGCTGAAGGCCTATCATTCTCACTTAGCGGACTTCTTCATGATTCAATTCTAGCCGGCTACGCGTAGCGAGACACCCCCACCCCTAAAAAAACCAGGGGAGGAAACGTCTGCGAAAAGGTGGTGCGCATCGATACAGATAGGCTAAATCCCGATCACATGAATTAAAAGAAAAGGCTAGATAAATGACTAATAGCTATTATTCCGGAATTTTTGCTAAGTACATTGAAGTTTGAAATTAAAAAAGCAGAAACACAATTTAAAAAAACAGTTAGGTCCAAGCTAGAAAATGCTTTCTAATTTCTTGTTTTCCAAGCCAAAAAATGTAGGAAATGCTAAGTGTCGACCGACCATCGACCGAGTGTCGACCAATTACTGACCGATACATCGGTCAAGTATCGACCAACTATCGACCAACTATCGGCGAAGTGTCGGCGAAGTGTCGGCGAAATGTCGGCGAAGTGTCGGTGAACGAAAAGCTATATCGGCCGAGACACATCTGGAACGACTATCGACCGTGTCTCGACCGAGTGTCGACCGACTATCGACAGACTATCAACCGACTATCTGCCGCTATGTCGACCGTCGACCGAGTATCGACCTAGTGTCGACCGAGTATCGAGCGACTGTCGACCGACTATCGACCGAGTGTCGACCACTATATCGACCGCTATATCGACCGATATCTCAGTCGACATTACCCACAGTAAACAAGATCCAGTAAATTTACCATTTTTGCTTTGTTTTACATTGTATTTGTGGGTAATTTTCTAAGTACAAGCCCCCGGGGGGCTTATATTTGGAGGGGCAATTTAATGGACGGTTTTTTGCGTTACCGGATTGGGAGGCTTATATATGGAGGGGCTTATACATGGAGGGGATTATTTTCAGAATTTTACAGTATCTCCCTAGAATAATTTCAATAATTGGTAAAAACAACAAAAATAAAATGATCTTTGAAAAACTTTGCTGTTAGGTTAACGTGTTTTCAACAGACACAATAAAAATTGCAATCCGTTTCCATGTACTTCAAATTTGTCCATCTGTGCCTCCTTTTGCATTTGCTGAGGTAACCCTTTAACTGGCAATTGTACATATATTTACAAAAGGACCCTCTTGGCGTAAATGCTCTCTTGAGTTCAGTGATTTGGCCCCTGGACTGCTTCAATGCTTTTTACATGACATAGTTGTTGTGACTTGCGAGTGGATTTTGGCAGTAGCTGGCATCAAATCTACTGAACTAACTGTAAAATTCTAGTTTTTGTCATCTGTGGAGCTTTAAGGAATTGCACTGAGTGTGTTTCTCTTCACCTGACCTTCAACATGGATCAAAACTTGCAATTCTGAAGATATAATGTCCGAGTAAAGGAAAACAAGTTTGTATGACTAGTAATAGCGATTGACTCGATAGTATGAAGCAACTTTGGAAGTCGAGTGCCCTCTGAGAGTTGAAATTGGAAACATGGTTAAATGGCTTTCCTTCAAGCCCCACAATTCTGAAAGAAAACAACAAACAAGCACTCAAGCAAACAAATTAATAAACACCCATTTTATGTTTCACAGTTCAGTTCATTTGTAGATTGACAGCTTGTCAACATACATGTAGTAGCCAGTAACAGATCATCAGTTGTTATAAATTTATTTGGCTTTTTTGTTTTATTCTCATTTTTAGGATCGTATACTCCACCTAAACATGAAGGCTGACTTAAAATATTATTGTTAATATTAGATTTGTAATTTCTAGTGCATGGGCTGCTGTTTGCATGGGATATTTTCTAAAAAATTTTGCTTGTGGTGTACATAGTTCACCATTGACCCCTTAAAGCTCTTACAACAACACTCATTACCGTCAAACCTTTTCTATGTGTACTTCTTATAATATGGTACAGTGAAACCTGTGCATAAGACCACCCGTGGGCTATAAAAAACGGAAAATGCCAAACTGAAACATTGTGAAATGACATGAAGAACTTGATTCTGACGATTGGCCTTCTAGAAATCACAAATATCACTTGAATGCTTACACACTTTGATCAGCAACCTTCGCTAACAAGACTAATAATGGTAATAAGACTGAGTAGAATCCAATTCGGTCCGCAGTCATACAATAATTGATTAACAAAATCATACGACTGCTTAGTCCGATTTGGTTTATCTAGATAATGATAACAGACCGCATGGGTGATAGGACAACATGAAGTTCTGTTAACAGTTTGGAACTATAACAAAATTTGTGATAATTTGAGCTTTTTTTAAATTAAAACACACGATCTTCCGAGCGTTTTTTTCCCAGAAAGAAAAAAAAATTCAGGTACCAGTACATGATGGCCAATTCCTTGGGCGTGGCACTTACCGTCCTGTTACTCTGGAATTCCTGGAATGAGGGCTGCTGATAGCTAATCAGATCAGGGAATATTGTTATAGTTATGATTATCGATTTACTGCTTCATGCTTTCACGCATTACCAGGCATTTACCCGGTCACTTCAATGAGGCAAAATTGTGAAAGAGGCAACCATTGGAATATTTCAAAAGGTAGTCTTTTCTTGTAATGGCAGATGCTGGTCTTAGTTTAACAAGAAAATGACTAGACTCTTGTTTGGGCTTGGGAAAAAAATCTCTTTAGTCTCAATAAGGAGGTGATTGTGTCAATGCTGTGGTCATATGGTTGCATTCCACTGTACTGATGATGGAATTTTTGAAAAATGTGTGCCATTTTTCCCTATAGTGATCATTGCCCATATTCCATTCTTGTAACCTTTTTGTTCTGATTAAGCGGTGTAATATATCGTGAGAAATTAGGTGTTGGTCATTTCTAGAGCTTGAAGGTTGACTGGTGATAGATTTCTTTTGAGTTATGAAACAAGATAAAAATAGTCCTATTGTAGTATCATGTATGTACTGTATGCTTTCATCCTCATTCACAAAGTGAGTCATCATCACAGATGATGTGCTCAAAGGGAGGAGCATGATATTCCATTCAGGTTTGACAACAGAGAACCCGTTAGTTTTGTTATCTTTACACAACCTTTCTCCTGAAGGGCTAGAAAAGTGGCCTTCTTGCAGGCCTGTGTTCCCTTATCTGAGAACACCAGGTCAATCCATTAACTCTTAGCTTGATCCATTTGGTATCATAGAAACCCTGTCTGAATAAAATAGGCATAACATTTAGTTATAGATCCCAGTGGGTATCAGTATTCATACAGAGACATACCTCCGTACTGAACTTAACTACTATTAAAAGAACTAGTTCACCAAGGAGGTGTTACAACTTCTTAATCGTACTTTTTGTTTGTTTTTTAGTCCTTCCTCCCTAGTTTTGTGCATGTAAGCATTTTGTCCAGAGACAGACCTTCTATAAATAGATTTTAAGAGCGTTGAAAATAGACAAAATATAACAAAACTGGAAAAGGACGGTTGTGTGTGTGTTTTTGTTGTTGTTGTTATTGTTGTTGTTTTCAGAATTTAAACTGAACTAGGCTTTTAGGACATTATCATTTCAAGTCCCCGCTGAAATGCTCCACCTTAACTCTCCATTTTTTCCACTAAAATGCTCGTTCTCCCCCAAAAGTCATTAAAATGCTCGATAATGCACATCCACAGACCTTTTTATCATAAAGACTCAGGAAACACAGGTAAATAACAACTGATTATATAGCTAATACAGCGTTCGGGTTCCATGTGCTAAAAACAAATAAGTGGTATAACAACCATGTATACAAGTTAATGGTTTTATTACAGCAAAAGATAATCCTCTAAAAGCTGTATCAGAGTGGCATAAATTCGATACTTTTTAATATGGACTTAAAAAAAGTAATTTTCCGCTAAAACTTCACTATAAAATTCCCAAATAACACATAATCCTTTTGCCACACTAAAATGCTAAAAAAGGTAATGCCTAAATGATAGATTTAAAGGTGGCTCACAACAGTTTCCAGAATTTTTAACCATTTCGTCCATTCCCTTTTTATGGTCACTTTGTACTTGATTTTTTAACCATTTCGTTTCTATGGACTACTTGTCACTGAGATGTTATTTAAACAATTTCAACAGAGTACAACAAACTTTTCACTAAAATGAACTTATCGACATTTAATATTGATAGACTTGAATATCAATATAGTTTCAAAAAAAGTCTGACGTCCTTTTCTAACGAATCCTAAGTTGTCAGTGTTTTCAAGATCAGTCTTATTTCAAGAAAAGAACCTTTCCGGCAGTGTAGTCACAAACTAAAATACGACCGTCAGGCATTGTAACAATACTCCATGGAAATGTTAGCTTTTTAACAGTTTTTCCAGTAAAGTGACCCTCTATAGTGAACTGTTGCACGTGACCACTTTCTTTGTCACTGACCAAAATATTTCCATATTGGTCTACACACACTCCATACGGCGTTAAAAACTGTCCGTCTTCATTGCCTTTTTCTCCAATCTTTCGCAAAAACTTCCCTGAAGAATTAAATATTTTTAAACAGCTGTTCCCACTATCAGCAACAATAAACATGTTTTTGTAACAGACGCAGCCTACAGGATTTTTCAGTTTTTCAAGGCCGCTATCTCCAAATTTGAACATGGGCACACCATCCCTTGTCAAAACCTGAACTCGGTTATTGCTATAGTCAGCTACAATGATGTTTCCTTTTCCATCCATACAAACACTAACAGGATGCTGAAACTCTCCCTCTCCTGTCCCAGACCGACCAAACGTGTTTGATAACTTTTCTGAATGTAAGTTAAACTGCTGTAATCGGTGACCATTGTGATCTACCACGAGGATCTCATCATCATTAATGAATTTCACGTCATCTGGACCGAGCAGCAGCTGCCCAGGACTCTCTCCCTTTCCGTCACCCACTTGTTGTACAATATTGTTTACTTTATCAAATATTAGAATACTTTTCTTCTCATAGTCTGTTATGGCGATTAATCCTTTACTACTCACTGTAATACCAGATGGCTTTTTCAGAGTTTCATTTTGCAAGTGTAACTCACCATCAACTTCCAGCTTTCGTTTCTGCACCTCGATAATAAACGGACTTTCAGCAAGGCTGTCACCGTTTATCTTTGCTGAGATGTGGTAGGTACCCGGCAGTTTAGAAACAAATTTCAGCTGGTAATTTCCGCCTGCTTTTTCGTTGATGTTCAAACTGGCCAGTTGGTCAGAAGGTTCCACTTGAACCTCAATGTGCGGATCTTTCAGTTGTTTGTTACTGATCTGTCCTTCGCTTGTCTCTGGGCAAATCGAAATCTCTGCTTCAACCCCAGCTTGGAAAGTTTGTTTTAGTCCTTCAATTGTTGATTTGTTTAGGACTGTCTTGGCTGATTTTATTATGCCAAGACTCAAAGTATCTAGCTTACAAGTTGACACGAACTTTACAAACGAGCCAACAGGCAGGGTGGGCATTTGAGTTTTTTCAAGCTCTTCAAATCGTTCCTGTAAATTCTTTCTGTTTCCTATAATGTCTGCACTCGAACTTCTCTGAGCCAGTTCACTTGCAAACTCTGCCGCTTGTTTGATCTGTTTTTCTAGCTGTTGAACTTGTTTCTTAACAGCATCCAGTTTTTGCATTCGTGACACGCGTGTGTTCTCGAGCGTGGTAATTGCCTCGCGCTCGCGTTCGCGAATCACAGCGATCATTTGCTCGGCTGATTGAGACACTTGGCGTTTAGCAGTTGCGATGTTAGCTTCAAGATTGGTGGCCGTCTCCTCGAATTGACGGATATTGTCTCTGCACGTTTTGTGTTTTTGCTTCATCGACTCAACTCTTGCCAAAATTTTAGCTCTTTCTTCATCGGCTGCAGTTTCTAGCAGTTCAATTTCATGTGTCTTGTGATTCATAATAAAGCATATTTGACAAATACAAGTTTGGCAGACGTGACAGTAAAATCTGGTTACTTCCTTCTCGTGGTACTTCTCAGTGCAGAATGCCTTTCGCTTTAACAACGCTTCGTAATCTTCTGCTTGAAATTGTTTGATTTTGGTCACCTTGTGTCCAGCGAATGCAGCTTCTCTAAACAGCTCGTGAGCGTTTAGACAGTCGCAACACAACATTTTTTCGCATTCGAAACAATAGCTTGCTTCGTCCTTCTTCTTCTTGCAAAATCCGCAAGTGATATCATTTCCATCGCCACTTTGTTGAACAGCGAGAAGACTGAGCAAGCTGTTATGGAGGAAACTAGTCGGTAACTGATCGAATCTGTTTCCTTCGGGAATGGCTATTTGTGTTTGGCATTCGGGGCAGCGAAACTGACCATCTCTCTGACTTATAAGCGCGTGTTTCTTCAGACATTCACAGCAGAAAGTGTGAAGACACGCTATGGTTTTCGGCTCCTTAAAATTATCCAGGCAAATCGAACATTCAACATGTTTTTTGAGGTTTTTTAGGAGAGATTCCATCGCAAAATTAAATGCAAAGCAGACAATGTCTTCTATGCCTTGTAGAACGCTATACACCGTATTCACAAATGGCGGACACGCGGGAAAAAACTGGTGCCTAGTCATGAAAGCGAGGTGTTGGAAAAGTTGGAGGATAAACAAAAATTGCAAATGAAGACTTTCAGTGAAACTTGCAGAGTGTTTAGCACGGATTCCACCTAAAATAACTTTGTACGGACTTCTTTTCAAATACAATTACGTGGGATGTATTCTACTTTTAATGTTTAGTAGTGATTTGCTGTTTGCAATCAAAAGGGACGCGTATATCTTCAAGGAAACAGGATGATTTTGTAGGTTTCCGAAGCATCAGAAGCTCGACACGACAAGTGGATGATGACTGGAGAAAAGCGGAAAACATGTTGGCCCAAACTTCACACTGAAACCGAATACGAAAGCCAGACCACTACAATTCTGTAAAACAGAAATAAAAACAGATATTGGTGGCGAGAAAAAGAGAAATAATAGCCTGCGTAGCAGGCGCTTGGAAGTAGTGGGCACAAGAAAAAACGGGCGCGCGAGAAGGAGACACGCGAGGGGAGAGGAAGCTCCCTCAGCCCTTGCGTGTCTCCCTCGCGCGCGCCCGTTCTCTCTTTCGCCCGCTACTTCCAAGCGCCTGCTACGCAGGCTAGAGAAATAAGCGACGGTATATGGCCTACTTGTCAACGGAAGAGACCTCCGCCATTACACAAAACAGGTCAAGTCGAGAGCCACTTAAGAAAGCAGTCAAAAATAGGGTACAATACCATGGGGAACGTTGTAATAGAGGGCAATTCATAGCACTGTGGAATACCACGTTTTAAAATTGTATATAATCGACTCTCTAGGAACCACAAACTATTTTATCACGCATTACACGAAAAAACCTAAAATTTTTAGTGATATGAGCTGTTCGTTTAATTTCTGAATGGTGATTTTGCAGTATTTCGTATCCGTGGTGTAGTTAATGTGCAAATCTGTCACCGAACCACCATGGTGCAGCAATGGCTAAAATCATTCTCCCGTTACCAATCTGGATTTATCCTTTAGAATTGCCTCTTGGTCCCATTGTTTTTATCAGAAAGTGGTTTTGGGCCGGGTTTATGGATGAATGAGACCATTGGCCGTAGACCTTACTTGATCCATCTTACTTGGAGTGGTCTCAAAAGTTAATGTCCTAAGGCAGGCTTGACCTTCGTTCATGTAATCTACTTTTTATCGCATCAAGGCTTAATGCCAAGTCTGATAGTTTAATTTCATGGCATCGAGAACCTGGTGCCACAGCTGTTGATGCTTTCAGTATTACCTAGGCTAATTTTAATTGTTACGCTTTTCCTCAGTTTTAGTCAGCCGTCTCGATTTTCGGCCAAAGAAAAAGGTAACCAAAACGTGTCCTAAGCCGTCTTCGCCATCTCTGTACGGTTTTATTTGTAGTCACTCGTAAGAAAGCCACTGATGTTATAAAGACTCCTTCTACTCACTGCGCCGCCTTATTAACGCCTGTTGGCTCGGATCTCAATGACGGAATAAAAATAAAACAGCGCTGTCACCTACTTAGGCAGCAGAATGAAGTGAAATGCCCATAGTAACTTAGTAGATGTCATGGATGGAGTCTTTCCTTCAAAAGAACCTTTTTCAAATAATGAATATCTGATTTTGGGTGCAAACTTGAGATTTTCTTGCCGTTCGCAAACTGAACAAAACAACTTTTCCAATGGCTATATGAAGCCAAACAAGGACGTCTTACCTTCTCGTTTTATGTGATAAAAAGGTTCACGCAAATGTTTGTAAAAGTTCTGAAAGTTAATCAAAAAATGAAAAATAAAAGGGTGTTGGAATCTTATTTTAATCTTTTTTACTACCAGTTATCATCTTCGGCCGGACTTACTCTTCTCCGAAGCCACCCCTCTTCTATGAAGGGTGTTTTGAATTTTGTTATCACCGATGCAATCGATAGTCAGTTCTGTTAAAGCTCTTTAGAAAGCTAAACTCCGGCGGTGAACAGGTTTCCAAAACGTTAGTTGTGCTTAATTATTGACTTAAACCTACTCTATCATGTCAAAAAATAGATTTTCTTTCAAAAAAACACTTTTTTGAAAGACATGAACTTTTAATACTAACAAAATGAGACATGCTATAATTCTTCGAAAAGAAAATGGGTCCTGCTTAAGTCGAATCGGCCTACAATATTGCCTGTAATCAAATTGATAAAATACAATTTAATTTCCTTTTAGTGATGTTGGAAAGATTGTCGACCCTTTATTTTTTTACGGCACGATTTTAAGTGGGCACCAAGGTCACACATGTACAAGATGATTCTTAAGTTAAAAAAGCTGACAAACATTGTTTTAAAGAATGATACAAAGAATTGTAAAAGAGGGTCAAAAACGAGATTCACCTTGTGCAGATTTACCTGATCGGGATTCGGGATCGGCACCTGATCACAGTAGTATCCCGTAATAAAGAGGCTAAGTTTATATGAAATTACTCTCTGGGGCCGAGATTTCGTGTCCGTTGTCCGTATTAGAGAGAGTCGGTATTATGGAGGGTTTTTTTAAAGAAAATATATGGGAATTTCTCGGGACATTGGAAACTGTCCGTAATAGAGAGGAGTCCGTATTAGAGAGGTGTCCGTACCGAGAGGTTCGACTGTATTCTTTTCTACCACTAATTATCATGTGAAAGGTTTAAATCCAGGAGTCATTTCAAAAGTAGGTTAGTTTCATCGTCCGAGTAAATGTAGTCCTGAATAGAACTGTTGTTGTTGACATTGACTAATGTTTCGACAACCTGTGCGGTCATCTTCAGATAGAGTCATGGCAAGTTGTATCACGTCAGTTGATGGTATTATACTCTGGTTATAGAGAAAAACTCTGGTGGTAAAAAGGTTACTTTCCAAAATGTCAGTTTTCTTAATCATTGACTTCAAAATACTCGGTCATTTCAAAAAAAATTTTCTTTTAAGAGAAAACCGTTTTTAAAGGCATCATTTTTTGACACTTTCAAACTGCGACATGCTATAATTCGTCGCTAGTACTCTCTAGGGTGGATCCCGCTTTAGTCAAAGCGGCGTATAATGTTGCTTGTCCTCAAGCTAACGGAAACACTTTAGTAACTTTATGCTGTGCTAATGATGTTGAAAAGAGTGTGGACCCGTTTACCACGGCTTTCAGCGGATACCTAGGTCACGCATGTAAAAGATAACTGTTAAGTTGTAGAAACAAATACGAGCTAAAAAATAAAGTTCTAAAGAATAATACAATGAATGCTAACCTGAGAATAGTATGATGAATGGTAAGAGAGGGTCAAAAATGTTACTCTACGTACCGCGCCAAGAAAAGCCTTTCCCCTTAATAAAAAAGGAGTTTTAAAGGAAATAGATCTTTCACAGTTTAGCCTAAAAAACTGCTACATTTGAATGCCTGAATAAGGTCAATTCTCGTCGAAATATGTTTTTTATGAAAATCGAGAAGATAGCTTTGTGAGCAGCTCGAACGTTTAAATCGTTGTTGTCAAAGGAAGCACAACGTTCAACAGACAGTCACTATTCTTTTCTACCGCCGAGTATCATCTTTGGGCCTTATTCTTTCCCGAAGCCACCCTTCTTGGTGTATAAAGTTTTCATTTAAATTTACTCCAAGCTTACAGAAAGGTAAACATCGGTGGTGATTAGGTGTCAAAATCGTTAGTTTTTCATTTTATCGGTATATTTCTTTTCACAGTTCCAGTCCTGGAAAGAATGTCCACACACCCACGTCACCGTTATATATGCGGATAAAAACTACACGCATCAAAGCAAGTTCAACTTCTTTTACCTTGTAATAACAAATAAACTAAGATATGGATTGATTCACACAGAATAATTCAATGAAAGGAGAAGGAGGATCATAAACGAGGTTCTACTAACCACGTCCATTGAAAAGCCTTTTCCGTTATTAGTAACAAATTTAAATGGGTTATTTTCAAAGATTTCGCTAAGAATTCACCAAACGTATACAAGAGAGAAATGCTTCTCCCAACACGGTTTTTCAGAAAATGGAGGAGTTCAGATGTTTGACTCGTTGAAACGGTTTGAGTAGAATAGAAAAACAGCATTTAGCCGAATGTTCTATTTTACCACTAGTTATCATCTTTGACCGTTAGTATTCTTCTGTGAAGGAAACCGTCTTTGTCTATCAAGAATTTTTGTCTATTCTCAACCATGCAATCAACAGTCTTTCTGTTAAAGATAACAGAAAACTAAAAACTGGTGGTGAATAGGTTACTTTCCAAACTTTTTCATTTTTAAACTGTTAATTTTCTTAATCATTGACTTCAAAATACTCGGTCATGTCGAAAAAAGAAATTTTTTCCAGAGAACACCATTTTCAAAGGCATCATTTTTTGATACTTTCAAACTGCGACATGCTATAATTCGTCGCTAGTACTCTCTAGGTTGGATCCTGCTTTAGTCAAATATTGCTGTCCTTAACTTAACGGAGACACTTTGATTTCCCTTCATGCTGTGCTATTGATGTTGAAAAGAGTGTGGACCCGTTTACCACGGTTTTCAGCTGATGCCAAGTCCACGCATGCCCAAAATATCTCTTCCGTTATAGCAATAAATAAGCTCAAAACTAAAGTTCTAAAGAATATACAATGAATGGTAAAAACTTGAGAGTAATTTGATGAATGGTAAAATAGCGTAAAAAAGGTGACTCTACGTACCGCGCGCAACGAAAAGCCTTTAAAATTAATTAAAAAAGGAGTTTTAAAGGAAATTGACCTTTCACAGTTTAGCCTAAAAAATTGCTACATTTGGATGCCTGAATAAGGTCAATTCTCGTCGAAATATGCTTTTTATGAAAATCGAGAAGATAGCTTTGTAAGCAGCTCGAACGTTTAAATCGTTGTTGTCAAAGGAAGCACAACGTTCAACAGACAGTCACTATTCTTTTCTACCACCGAGTATCATCTTTGGGCCTTATTCTTTCCCGAAGCCACCC